GGGGGGGGGAGAATCTCCTGTAATCGTGAATAAAAATCAAAGAGTGTTACATCAAGCTGTCGCTTTTATTGTTCTGGAATATACGTAATAAAGAGAGGTTTCGAGAAGCTTTCAGTTTTGAGAATATTCAATGCTTTTATTAAACTCATTTATGGACCGCATAATATAAATTTTTCATATCTTTGATATTACTTACAAAAGTCGCTTTGTAAGTAACAACATTCGCTCTGCGTTTTAGAAAAATCCAAACGCTATCTGTATTTTTCAGATGAATTTAATATATGTATATATTTTTGTTTAGTGTATTATGTAATAATATTTAATTTTATAATAAAAAGTTATTTATATTTTATTGCTGAGCGCTGGCAATAATGGATCGCGTTGCTTATTATCGAGAGTTTCAATCAACAAGATGCGAGCTTTCATGCGTGTCAATTTTTTTGCGACGCCTATTTATTCCGCTCATATTGAATTGTCTTACTTTTCAATAGCAGACGAGCTTTCTGCAGATATTGATGTTGCGGGCGTGGTTTCAAGGACGATGCCGTTGATTCGCTTTCTGAACGTCCCTTGTCGCCCATCGGAATGCCATAAATGTCCAACAATAGTTGATCCACTAGTGAGGTAATCACAATGTTTTTTTGCGGCGGCGAACAGCGCAGAGGTGACGGATATATCTAAAATGCAATCATTAGACGATGTATTGTTTGTTTCCGGAAAAGTAATGTAGAAGAGATTAATATAAAGCGATATTAATAACGATATACACCAAAGTTAAGAGAAACAAAAAGAAGAGTGACTTATCCATTTTGCATAATATTACTGTGACTACTTCTACTATTTCCTGGTGAAGCTATTGTATCAAGTTTCGTGTTATAAGTACAATATTATATCCTAAGTTTATTCTAGCACACATCTAGCTTATGTTATCGTCCGTATCGTCAGATAGTATTTTAAAGAGCGATAAAAGTATATGAAAAATTTAATTTTGTATTTTACTATAAAATACACGTGTCAATATTCCACGTGTATTTGACAGATAAATTTAGAAAACTTCTCAAGGAAGTCTAACCAATTTAAAATAGATACACATTCCAACTCCTACGACTTCGCATGCTAATGCCTAAGTCAACATTCTCAAACCAGAACAGGTAGATATCTATTCAAACTAAACCCGTTTATATCGCTGGCTTGGTTCTCCCTGATGAGGATTGATTGATCTAGCTCGAGTCGCATTGTGCAAACGTTTACCTTAGGCCTTTTGGCGATCGTGTCATGATCGTCAGCATTTCCATAATTAAATGTGATCACGCTCGGTTCATCCCCTATAGACTTGCTGCGCTTTTGCCAGTATGATTTTGCGATACCGGCGCTTCCGGTCGGCCGTTTGCTATTCAGCTTCATGAAATCCGGTCCGTCCAGAGTCCGCTGTATCAGGTTGCGCCTTCGTCTTCTGTACTTCGACGGAAAAGCATAATCGTCCGGCTGGCAAACCGGACCCCGCGTCTGATGAGTGATGTAGACATCGCTGAACACCCGTTCGTTCTCCACCGCGACGCATTTTACGCGGTAACTGATTTCTGCGTACTTTCTTAGTGGCATCACGTTGTAGCTCGTGATCATCGCTGAAGGTCCTGACACGTTTCGCATATGTTGAATATGTATATCAATTCCACTGATCGCCGCCGTCGTTCGAATCTCAAGTTTCCCGCATCGCCATCGTCACATTGGCGAACTTGCTGCGCCTTGCGTCGTAAAGCGCATTCGATCAATCTCCGGTTGCCTTTGTCGCCCGCAGTGTTTCCCGCAAGTTTAACTCTCACGTAACAGAAAAGCAATTTCCAACGGCATGCTTAATGTCGTCAATCATCGATATGCTCCTGTATTAATTCACATTTACAATAACAAATCAGGTTATATCGTTTATACGCGACTTTTTATTTACCGAAAATTTATATTTTTGAGATCCTGTCTTTATTTTGGGCATAAACTCAAGATTCTTTCGTTTGAAATAATTTGCCATTATTTTGTGATAAGCATCATCAATCCATCTTTATAAATTTTGTAAATGACAATTTTTTTTATTGCGTAATGCATATCGAAAGATTCATATGAAGTGCGTAACATTATATATTGACATAAATCCGTGAATACAACAGTAATCAGAAATGTTATATATTACACACAGTTGCAACCGCATATACCAATGGATAACCTTGGAACTAACTGCAGCATATGAGATAATATGAGAGAATTGATAAATTATAATCTCCTTTATATGTCACTTATTTATTATTATATAATGTGTTCATTGTTATTTTTTCCATACATATATTTCAACAAATCTGGATGTTAGAAATTATTTAAGCAGCAAAAATATACTATCAATATATTTTTATAAATTGATCTTAAAAAAGACTGATCGATAATACTTATTATTGTCAAATTGTGACAAGTTTCTGTGAACATAATCTCAAGTCTACGCACGAGATGAAAATGAGATTTTAAAAATACACTGTTTATATTTGCATGTATATGATACAAATATATTATTATAGCCTATGCAATGGAATAACAAAAAATAAAATCATTTTGTAAGATTTAATTTAGCCATAATTACATCATATAATTTTACTAATCAGCAGACTAACTTTTTGTCATTGAGAACAATTTATGGCATATTGTTTATTTACTCTATTTTTGATATAATTTTTTTATTTTTAAACGGTACTTAAAACATAAACACTATAGTTATAAAATGCAGCACTAATTCGCACTTTGCTATACGCAAGTTTTATTTTCAATGAATTTTATTTTCTAAAAAGTATTTACAGCTAGGAATTTTAAAATAATAGACAAACACGAACACTGTAATAGTACAATTTGAAAATCTACATACATATAGACGCGACTACTTTTGAGCTCCTCCAACTTCTTGTGCATACGATATATTTCTTATCACAAGCTAGTAATTTCCTTCTGGTAGCCAGACCACAACTGGAAGTGCTGGTGATGATAATCGTTTCATTAAGTCTATACCTACACGCATGTTGTCGCTTGACTTAGCTAATGGAGGTGGAAATGAAAAAACGGACCGCATGTCTTTATATACGTTTATTTGCATTGCACACACAATACGTAAATCTATAAATTAAACATTCTTATTATCAGTTCTTTTTCGAGACAGTTTTTTCTCTATTTATGTAGCGTATAAAACTTTTAAAATGTTTCTTCAGCAAATATAACATTGACTAGTTATTGTTTATTCTTTTACATGAAAGCATCAGAGTAACCAAGCGTATTGTAGCATAATCATTATTGCGATTTATCGTTTATTTTGCAACACGATAGAATTCTCTGTCATATTTAATTCTTATTTTATAAATGGTGAAATAATTCTGTATTTTATATTAATAATTATTTAAATGAAAATTTTAAGCAATGTTAAACTTAATCGTTAATATTAATATACGATAACAATTAGCCTAGTTCAATTATAAATGATATTATTACAGAAACTATTAATACGGTGTAATGTGGTTTAAGCAAGATTAAAATAAGTAAGATATACATCGAGTATGTTTGTTTCATGCAGAGAGAAAATAAAGTATTCACGTATTATCACTTTGCCTTACTTAACGATAATTCACCGCATTTCATCGCTGCTGTCCTCGAAATGGTTAGAAAGATAATTTCCATTATCGGTATTGTGCGATAACATAACTCGTGCAGTTTATAATGTGAATTCTACTTGAATTCAAAATATTGTCCGGTTGTCTTATAGTCATTCACCTGGTAAGTCTGTTGACCTTAATCTGAGAACTGTTAGGGGGCCCGTATCTACGTCTGTATGCATAAATTTCCATTTCCGTGCTTGAAATTTAGCTGCAAAAGTTTGAAAATATTTACCGCGATATATATATGAAGTTTTAATTATTGGAGAATGCATCACGTATTACAATACACAATTTCATACAAATTTTATATAAATTTATTTAACAGAATCATATATCTGTTAAATAATCCATAATAATCTGTATGGGTTAATCATATTTTATTGATTATTATTTTATTGCATCGAAAATAAAAAGATTATCTATTATTATGCAACAATATGAAATGAGATCACTTAAGCTATATTTAAATTAATGTTATATTAAATTGTGAAAAGATATAGGATATATAATACTATATAGAATATAGTACATAAGATATATAATTATTTATTAACAATATGTGTAAAAGTTTTATATAATTTTATAAAAGATTTTATTTAAATTTTTAAAATATTTATATCTAAAATATGTAAGACGTAAACATTTTTTGAAGATTTTTGATTATTTCTTTATCTACGCGGATAATAAGTTGCAATAAATTATAATAAAATAATATATCGAGAGAACATGAATGCATAGTTACTTCCACGTGCGTTCATGTTTGTACAATGTTGAAGACTGGTTACATAATAGCGTTAGAGTATACATCATATATGTATTGTTTAGCTTTAATTTATTAGGTGTAACGCATACATAGGTAATAATAATTATTATTATATGACATGTTAGCAATTCATCACGAAATGACAATAATGCAATTTATGTTGTCGACTAATTACACATACGATGCAAATTTAAATAAAACAAAATTATCCAAACTTGTTTAATAAATAATTAATATCTTTTTCTTTGTATATTAATATAAATATTGTATATACGCTTATACATATATGCATTTTTGTTTAATCGATTGTACGCCTAATATCGTTTCTACAGCAACCAAGTAATCATGGCGGACTTTTACGCGAGTGAATTTAAGCGTGCAGCGTAATTACTAATTATTGAAGATTATCTAACAAAATTTAAATATATTGTATTAAATTAATATAATAGAAAAATGGTCGACGTACCGTGCTCTTGTAGTGATGAAAAATTTCCGGATTATCAAAGTGAAAAATTGACCGCGCTTGGTCCGCGCACTGATGAGGTTTACCGAACCTACAATCTTCCATCAAAATTCATATATCCAAGTAAGTTCTAAAAATTAATACATATATATCAACTTTGTAGATCATATTTCATTTTAAGTTAGATTCTTACAAAACATTCTTGGAAATTGGAAAACGTTCAACGTGTATATGGTAACAAGTGGGTCTCGTTTTTCTCGGATGCAATTTGATGCGATTTACATGTTACGGTTCTTGAAACTCAATATTGCAAACACAATTACGTAATACGAAGCTATTGGTCTTTTTTCAAATTAAATTGCTGTATAAATCCGATATTTCTCCTACGCGTCCTTCGTTTAAATACATACGTCCTATCCTGATGCATTTACGAACTTTCATGCGTCATTCATACAAAATGTGAAAAATTAAAAAAGGAAACTATAATTATTATGAATGAATTATATCAAAATACGTAATTTTTAATATAAATGCAAAAGCATTGTTATTTCGCATTAAATAAATAGAAATAACATGTAATTTTACAGAATTATTTTCTGAATGCGTTAGCGAATACATTAGTTGTAGGCATTCTCTTGTACAAGAATATATCGTTTCGTTGTATATATTTTGGTCCAGAGAAGTCACAAGTAGCTGGCATGATAATGTTCGGCTATTAATAAGTCGACGCAGAACCGATCACTGCACCCGTCGAATCTTATCTGCCTACGAACATTTTTATATATGTCCCAATGAATCTTTTGCAAGTAACTCGTCTCCAACCGTACACAAAGTTAATATATGCGGACCGAACGGCGCCTGAATTTTTTATCGCTGCATGTTGTAAAGTGTGAGATTCTGATATGGTCTTATTATTCATCATTGATAAGTTCTTGTTGTTTTCCGGTATGCTGATATATTGTCTGTTTATTGCAGAGTGCAGAAGACGGTTTTTATGCAAAAATGTTAATTTATATGGGCACTGAAAATTTTCTGAAAAAACAATTCTGCCGAAAAGTGTGTTCTGTTTAAGATGATTTTTATTATAATATATTACATTTCTATCTATTCTATTATGATGGCTTACATTAAACAAAATTCGACAAAAATGTCATTATCTCACACATCATTATTATTACTCTTAATAATTAAAAAGATATGTAATTATATAATATATAATTTTATATGATTAATTAAAAATAATTTTTCGTTCGTAATTTTAATCATAAAGAAAGCATCCGTATTACAATTAATGAGCTAAATATTTATTTATTAATGTTTTTTTGAATATTAATTAACTTTAATTACATTTATTTTGAGAAGCCAAATATCTTTTAAAATTTTGCTTATTTAGCTAGTGTTCAATTGATTTCCAATAAAATTTTTGCATAGTTAACTAATATATTTTAAGAATTATATATATTAGAAGATAACATTATCCATTCCTATCCGTTATTATTGCAGTTCTCAATACTTTATAAATTAATTATTAAATCTAAGATAATGCGAAATGTTATATGCCGAAGTGTGCACGTGTGTATGTGTGTATCATGCAGCTTATCGTTGATATATATTCACCTAATAATATCTCGAGCCACGCTGTGTACGCGAAGAAATTCCCGACGCACGCGAGATCAGTGCACACTCAGCCTCCGAGTGCACCATGTGCTTCCTTCTTCTCATTTATCTCTTCTTATCGGCCAACGTCGCGATCGTTTTCACGGAGGACGCTGACTGTCAGGTTTACAATCACCTGTATGTCTGTTTGGAGAACGGCGACGTTCTTCACGACGTCGCATTCGAGGACGTCAACGCCGTTCAGACGATCGAGGACATCGAGCTGCATCTGGAGAACCTCGGGATCGTTGACGTCGCTAGGAATGCCTTCATCGAGGTCAGCAACTCGTCCGCTCTCTATATCCGCGACAATCGATTATCGAGTATCGGCCGACATTACTTTGGCGCTCTCGATGAACTCACCTATTTAGACCTGAGAAACAACACGATCATTAACGTTGAGGAGGGTGCTTTCGCGAGGCTGAGCAGTCTGGAGACTCTATTGCTGGATCACAACAATATCTCAGCCTTACGACCCGGCGCGTGGAAGGGCCTCTCGGAGTTGCACGAGCTCTACATCACCAACAACCAGCTCGCGTTGCGGAGAAACATGTTCAAGGGGCTCAGACAGCTAGAAACGCTGGTGTTGGATTCGAACGAGATATCGGAGATACCAATCGGCGCGTTCAACGGTTTATCGCACATAGATCTTCTCTATCTGTCGTGTAACAAGATTTCGTCCCTGCATCCCGACGTGTTTCGCGGTCTTAACGAGATAAACGAACTCGACTTGGGCAGAAATCGATTGAGGGCGATTCCCGTCGGTATCTTTCGACACATGAAGTCGCTGAGCTCGCTCTGGCTGAACGGCAATCAATTGACCGTGCTAAAATCCGATAGCTTTCAAGGTCTGGACAATTTACTTTTTCTGTTTCTAAACAACAACGATCTCCGTTACGTGGACATGGCGGCGTTCGCGAAAATGAAGAATATAACTGTGGATCCTGGTTTCAAGATACGCGATTCTTTAGTGGACGATCCCGGAACAATCCACGGTCAATATCAGTGCAGTAGCGTGGCGTATCAAATACCGTATGATTGTACGGAAATTGATTCATAGGCTCGAGAAGCCGGCTAGAGCTCGTAAGCGAGATGTTTCTATATTCGCAAACATACATCCGCGAGGAAATCGCGCGGGAAATATTTTACATAATATATATTATATGGTTTTTTTTAAATAATTTTTTACAGCAGTCACTTATCATGAGCAATTAATGCAGCTAATGCTGAGTTTAATTTTTGTATGAAATTAAGATAATGACATATATATTTAGTTTTATAAGTATTAAATACAATACGCATTAATTATTTATTAATTTATAATGACTTCCACAGGGGTTTTTAAAGGTTACGGTCAGGAGAATCCTCCTTCTCATCCTTGTTACTGGACAACATCCATGAATTATGGCTGGTACGCACCGACAATTCATACAGTGCCGACGACATATTTTCCTCTAAATCATTCTTTCAGCACCGAGCTTAGCCGCGCGGGAATGTACAAGAATTGTTCTCTTAACACAGAACTCGATAAATCGTTAATTTAAATTTTACATCACTTTGTAACTCGTTTAATTTACTTTTAATGTGAGACAATAATAACGATGCATATAAGGTACGATAATTGATGAATTTTTTTTTGTCTCTACGCACTACTTTTTGATCTTATTGTTAATAGAAATGATTGGTTTTATATAAACAAATGATACATTTCTGAATGTTTTTTAAACATATATTTTATAATAAAGATTGAAGACGCTGGTAAATTCAGTTTTACGTATAAATTGAAGTGTTTAAATCTGTTTGTATATTATAAACATGTGACACTGTGAGGATGTCACGACACGCCAGGATATTTAAAAAAATCACGATATGCATGTGATATATATATTTTATGCTTATATATTTTTATTATTACAGTTCAGCTTACGTATATCACGTTAAACATAATAATATAACAGGTTCTACATCGGGACGTCTTCGAAGTACACATAACGTCCCGTATCTAATGCATATTATGGATATCTCATCTGTTACCATTGCTGCCATTATTATTGACGATTAATATCATTTCGGTTTTTTTTTTCTTTCATTATATCGATGCGATTCATCTATATACGTAATCGCCTAATCGTTAATTGGAAAAAACATTGCGTGTACACAGTGTCGTTGACGATTACACATTAATATTTATAACACTTCGACACTCGCATTAATTGCCATATTTCACATTAATGTGGTAATACATTGGTAATGGTAACTTCAGTGACAACGTAACGTATATATATTTATATATATTTATGTATGTATGTAACGTAATGGACATTTATAGAATGACGATCTATTGTTTTAACACATTCAAGAGTAAGATTTATCGTAACAACCATAATGACTAGGAAACATTGGAAATGTTTTATAATCTATTATGGCAACAGGTAATGAGGGGTGAGTAATGGTCGATACACATTCATGTTTCTTTTCTTTTTTTTTTGTTATTCAGAAGATTCCTGCGACGTATTAATTGCTATTGTTCTACTCTATTGTTCTGATGATATCTTTGTTCGATTAATTACGAGCCACGCCAAATTGTAGCTCTGAGAAATTATTATCGTATCCATTAATCAATTAATCATTCGAGGCTGAAACCTTGAAAAATGCAAAAAATCATGAGAATCTTTATATTAATTTGTTATTCTTGAAAGAATGTGTGTCACACATGAAAGCTCTCTAAATAAAAATATCTATCGATTATATTAATAATCGAGAAATCTTACTCGACAATATTGCGTTTCACTTTGATTTTACACAAAACTCTTTATCGTAATATATAAAATACCGATACAAAAACTTTAGAAGAAAGCAATGCCGCAAGTCCAATGCCCTTCAAAATTCACAAAAGTTAAGTCGATAATCTCATCCTTCGATATCTATCGCATATTTCGAATGTACGCTTATATGAATAGCACACGTTAGGCAAAAAACAGCATGCTTCGACCTTATTATCTGGCTCTGAAAATGATCTACATTCTCTACTTCTACATTTCATTTTGTAGACTATCTCGAAAAAGATTTTCTTGATGATCAACGTACACATACATCGATCTAGATGCTCGTTGCCAATAATCACTCTTCTTGTTTTTCGTTAACAGAAGCAGCTTGAGTTGCTTCACAAACTCGCGTTTCATCCTCGTAATCTTTTCAACATCTCAAGATGTTCAAAAGCGATATTTCGAGTCATGCAATGTTTAATCAAATGACAAAGCTTAGTCGCAACGAGCACCTCGATGTACATCCAACGATTAACGTTGCATATCATAGGAATAATTACATGTTTTTGTATTTATATGCGTCTGCATTTAATATATATATATTATAT